GGCTCTGGATGAAGGGAAGAATTTCTCCAGAAACAATCTTGACATATCATTCCAGCTTACAATGGAGGAAGGTGGCAAGTAGTACAGCCAGTCTTTAGCTCCACTGTCCAATGAGAAGGGAAAGACACGCAGCTTGATTTGCTCCTCATTCACCCCTGGTGGCTTCATAGTGCTGCAGACTACATGAAACTCTTTCAAATGCTTATATGGATCCTCACATGCAAGACCATGAAACTTGGGAAGCAAATGGATAAGACTAGACTTAAGTTTAAAACCAGTATCAAGATCAAGATAACGAATGCAAAAAGGTTGATAGTTAACGTCAGGTGCAGCCAATTGCCTTAAGCTTCTATTATCCATGTTTTTTTTTTGAATTAATGACAGTATTACAAATAAAATAAAATAAAATGTACCCTATAAAAAATTATTTATATTTAAACTACAGTAGAAATTAGCCATAATAAAATTAGAAATACTATTGAACTATTTAAAAAATAAAAAAAATAAAAAAAATAAAAAAAAATAAAAAAAAATAAAATAAAATAAAGTTAAACAAAATTAAAATAAAAAAATAAAAGGAAAGAAAGAGCAAAAGGAACCAAAATAAAAAATAAAAATAAAATAAAATAAAATAATATAAAAGAATATAAGGAAACTAAATATAACAAAATCTAATCTATCTAATCAAAATCTTAACAGAATCAGAAGAATAGGAATGATTGGAAATAAAGTCTAATCAAAATCCTAACAAAGTCTAATCTACTGTTAATATTCACTAATTAGAAAAAAAAAACAACAAAAAAACAAAAATTAAAAGAAACAGAAATAGAAAAATCAAAAACAAAAACAGAAACAGAATCAGAAAATGATTTAGACCAATGCAATGTCCCCGACAACGGCGTCAAATTTGACACGAGCTGTCGAACTCGCGCAAATTGAAAATTATTATTTTTTAATTAGGGTTCAGAAAATTTGCAATAAAGTGAAAACCCTAAGTCGTCTCTCAAGGAAATTGTTTGGGTAAAAATCATTTTTGAAAATAGAAAATAAAAAAGGGGGGTTTTTGATTTCAGTTTAATAATTTAAAAGGCAGAATATAAAATTGGAATTAAAATTCGTAATTAAAAATTAACCAACCTAAGGTTAGGGTTCCATGGACATTTTTCCTCGGATAAAGAGATATCAGAATCTCGTGATTTATTGTCAATTGAATCAGAATCCTTATTTCCAATTGACAACCTTCTCTAAGCGATCGCTTAGCATTTGATTGATGCTCACCGGCAAGTTTACCGATCGTTCAAGTAATAAAGTGATAAGTAAGTTATCGTCTCCACAGGAGGGATTGTGAGCGAATATCTTATAAACGTCCTTTCAAGATATAAAACTCAAGTGATATGAAGAACAATAGAAATCAAAAACAAAAGCGTATTTTTGGATTTTAAGATAAGAGAATGATGCAAAATAATTTGGATAAAAATATGAGAGATATTGCAGGTAAGTACACTCGCCCTATGATCCCCTCTTTTTACTACGGATTGATTCACAATGCTCTATTAAAATAAACAACCAAACAATTTATCATCCAAACAATTATTAGCTAAACCCCAATTCCTTGCAAATTTAGCCCCTTAATCATAATTAAAACCCCAATTCCTTGCAATGTTTCAATTGAGATCAAGCATTACACAGATAAATTAAACGTTTGTAATCAAAAATGCGTCTATTCCTAGCACGCATGTTAATTATTATCCTACCCCCTTTCTGGACCAAAACCCCAATATTCCTATCTAGGGTTCTAACCCTTAGATTATCATTCAATACTAAACTGATCAGATTTAATATAAACGATAAGCAATACGCACAGAGTAGGCATAAATCAATTAAATTAAAGAGCAAAAAGTAAACCAATCCATGAATAAACAAAAGGTTCACATAGGGTTTGTGACCCTACCCACAATAAAGGAAACTAGCCAGACATGGTCATAGCTGGAGTACAATGATTCATAAAAGAAGAATAATAGCTGAATTCAAAAAGAAGAGAAAATAATCTTCAAGATCAATCTCCGCCAAAAGCTCCAGAAGTTCTTTTGTAGGTCTCTGTCTGTCTTCTGATCCACCCTTTTAATCTTGCACGCACGCGTTCGAAACACGGTGTCTTCCTGCTCGAAAACCGGCGCTGATGGCGCCGTTTTTGCACTTAATTTGAATTAATCCGCGCTATCAGCGCCGGTCATACTTCTTCCGCGCTGATGGGGCGGAAGTTGCACTGAAAATTCATTTGTTCCGCGCTGATAGCGCCGCCCATCTGATCCAAATTTTCCTTCTGCGCAAATTCTCATTTTTCCATGCTAAATTCCTATCCAAATATAAACTTGAGTGAGAAATAACATTGAAAATGAAAAACTAACAATTAATCCATAAAATGTATTGATAAGTATGCTCTTTTGACCTTAAAGCTTAGTATTTTAACTTGGAAAATAACATATATTACACCCACATCATTGATCAAATATGATGCTTTTACTCATACAATCGTAGAGTATCAGCCCGCTTGATTTAAGGTCATAGGGTCAATCAATCTAATCATCAAATCTGATGATTAATCCCTTTCCATAATCGCAATCGCGAACCTCAGATTGAATATCCACGATCGCACGATATCAATATGAGTTAGGAAGGGAAACGAAACTGATTTAAAATAAAGCGCAGATCCTCAAGACTAATCCATGGAATCCGTTACCCTTAGGTTGATTAAAAGGTTCTTAGCCTCGCATGGCTAAGGTAAACATAATTAAAAATTAAAAAGAATAAGAACAGAAGATGAAGAAGAAGAACAGAATTGAATTGAAATTCAGAGAAAACTTGTCTGTCGTCAGAACTCCCAAAAACTGACTACCGAAAGGTTTCCTAAAGTCTCCCTTAAATAGCCATCATTCAGAACGGCTAGGGCAGACAGCAATCCATTATTAGACAGCGAGAAGATTTACCAAAGATTTGCTGAAGATTTAAAGAAGATTTGTTCAAATAGGATATGGAACTAAAACAGAAACAAATCAAGATGATTCTTGAGAAGATTGAAGAAAGATACAACAAAGATTTAAAACTCTAATTCATAAACCAAATCTCCAAGATTTTACATGAAAAAGGAAACAAAGATGAAATCAAATACAAATCTTGTATGGATTCCTTGGAAGATTAGATAATGGATACAATTCATGTGGTTATAAATAAGGAGCTTGGGAGCACAAACCAATACACAATTCCAGAGCATTACACCAAGACTGAAGGAGGAATCCTGTTGCGAAGCGCAGGAACACTGAGAAACCAAGTCAACATTACACCAATGGAGGCTTGGGGTTCTCTTTTCTTTATTATTTCTTTTCTTTTCAGTATCCTAGAGTAGTTTTTTTATGTAGTTAAGGGTAGATGGAACCCAATTGAATCTTTATGTTTATGAATTAAATTGTCTCTGAATCCTGTTCTTTTTATAATTGAATAAATTATCCGTCTTTAATGCTTTCTATGAGTTTGTTCCTTATAGAATGATTTTGGGGAATTGTATGACAATAGGAATGTTGGTGCATGAACCTTGACTTGATAATTTATCATAATCCTTGTGATCTAGGAATAGGAATAGGAATAGACATAGGGTAATTATGCAATCTTGAAATTCTTGATCTTAATGCATGTTTTCTTGGGGAATAATCGGGGAACTAGAGTTCTTTCAAGATTACATAGATTTAGGGTAACAAAGAATTAAGCCCTAATTAACTCAGATAGAATTGATTGGCAATATATTAAGAAACAGATTCTTGGCTTTTTAATTCATAACATATGAAGGATATTGGGGGAACTCGAAACCTTAACCACGCTTTTTAAATTTTAATCAGACATCATCTCATTCATTCTTTTAATTCTGAATTTTCATATTGCATGCCTTTACTTGTTTTTAATTTTAAGTCTTGAACAACAATTCTCTTCATCTAAATTCACCATTCTCGCAAACCAAACCTTTGATTGTCCAACTAAAACGCAATTAGTGAACTAGTGCTTGAAATTCTGATCCTCGTGGGAACGATCTCGTACTTAGTACATTTTATTACTTTCACGATCGGTGCACTTGCCGTGTCGCTATCAAGTTTTTGGCGCCGTTGCCGGGGATCGAATTCTTCAACATTAGAAATAGCTAATTAAATTTTAGATTGGACTTTTAATTTTCTGCACTTTATACATTCTTCAAATATATTTTTCTGCATTAAAATTCTTCATATTTATTTTTCTGCATTCTTTGTTTGTTTATTTTTTATTTTTTCTGTTTTGTCTTTTTTCTATTTTTCTGCACATCTTTTCAATCTTAGTTTATCCGAAGTACTCTTAACCCGCGAACCTTGCAGTTTGATCCTGAGATAGAAAAGACAGAAAGGAAACTCAGGAAAGACGCAAAAGCAAAGAAAGCGGAGGAACTAATGGCAGGAAACAATCAACTCGCTCCAAGGACGTTGGGAGATTACATGACCCCAGATCGAGCTCCACAGACGGGAAGCATTATTAGACCTAACATAGAGGCTAACAACTTTGAACTGAAGTCGGCACTGCTGCAACTGATTCAAAAAGAACAGTTCGCTGGATGAAGCACAGAGAACCCCTTCAGTCATCTTGATAACTTCTTACTTTATTGTGATACATTAAAAGTAAATGGAGTTCCTCGTGACGCTATCTTGCTCAGGCTATTTCCATGCTCACTGAAGGATGAAGCAAGAGATTGGCTGTAGTCTCTACCTGAAGAAAGCATAACCAATTGGGATGACTTAGCAAGGAAATTCTTGGCTAGATTTTTCTCAGCTTCAAAGATGGCTAGGCTCAAGGCGGAGATCACAACTTTTGAACAAAAAGACAGCGAATCTTTGTACGAGGCTTGAGAACGATTTAAAAAATTACTCAGGAGGTGTCCTCAACATGGAATTGAAGCATGGGAGAAAGCAAGAATCTTTTTCCAAGGGATGACATCCAGCACAAGAACACTGGTGAATGCTGCTGCAGGAGGCTCCCTAAAAATAAAAACTCCTGAGGAAGCACTTGAACTGTTGGAATCATTAGCATCTCAAGAATTTGACAATGCTCCAGCCCCAGTTGCACCAAGAAGATCAGGAATCATAAAGCTTGAAGGCTATGATGCACTCTTAGCCCAGAATGAACAAATGCTACAAATGCACAAGAAACAACAAGAACAATTAGATGCCCTTAATAAGAAATTTAATATTTCTCAAGTTTCTTCTGTTTCTAATGCTAACATTAAATGTGATAATTGTCAGGAGGCTTATGCAACTGAGGATTGTGAATACATCAGAAACACGAAAAAGTAACCAGCGGAGGTCAATGCACTCTGGTATGATCAAAAGAACTTGAACAATCTAGGAAGGAATCAATATGGTAATCAAGGGTGGAAGAATAATAATCAACACCTTGGGTTGAGTTACAAGTCAAACTACCAGTTGAATCCTCCTATGCCATTGCAACAACAACCTCAAGGCACCACATCAGAGTGGGAGAAGGCTTTTGCGCAGCTGTCCAAGACCACATCCGACTTCATTCAAAATGCAGATTCCTTCAGAGATGAAACAAGAGCTTCGTTTCGGAATCAAGAAGCTTCGATCCGAAACTTGGAGACTCAAATTGGTCAGCTGTCAAGACAGTTCACTGAAAGAACTCAGGGTGCTTTGCCAAGCAACACAATTGTCAATCCAAGGGAGCATTGCAATGCTATCACCACTAGGAGTGGGACAGTGATTCAACCTGTGGAAAAGCCACCAGTTGAAAAGACGAAAGAAGCTGAACCTAAAGTTGAGAAAGAGAATGAAGAAGATGCAGTAGAAGCTGAAAAATGCATTCCAGAGAAGAAACTGTTCAAATGGGAGAAAAAGAAAGCTTTGGACAGGAAACCAAAAGCGGCAGACTCGTCTCCATATGCAAAAGTTCCATACCCTCGGCGGTTTAAACAAGAGGTCCAGAAACAACAATACACCAAATTTCTGGACATCTTCAAGAAGCTGCAGATCAACATTCCTTTTGCCAAAGCTTTTGAGAAAGTGCCCAACTACGCAAGGTTCATGAAGGATCTATTATCAAGGAAGCGTAAGTTGCGGGAATGTGAGACAATAAATCTGACGGAGGAATGTAATGCTATCAGTAAAAAGAAGTTACCTACCAAAGTCAAGGATCCAGGGAGCTTCAGCATTCCATGCATTATAGGAAAGATGGAAGTAGACAATGTTTTATGTGATCTTGGAGCTAGCATCAATGTCATGCCACTCTCCATGATGAAGAAGCTGGGGATTACTGAAGTGAAGCCCACAAATACGATAGTGCAACTGGCTGACCGCTCTTCAAAGCAAGCTTATAGCATCATTGAAGACATATTGGTTAAGGTAGACAAATTCATCATTCCTGTCGATTTTTTCATCCTTGACATTGAAGAAGATGCCTGCATACCTATGATTTTTGGAAGACCCTTCTTGGCAACTTCAGGAGCACTAATTGATGTGCTAAAAGGCGAGCTGATATTACGGGTAGACGGAGAGCAAGTAACTTTCAAGTTCTTTGACAAAGAAGTCCCCTTATCTATAGCTCAACCGGAAGATCAAGTCTACTACATTGGTGAAAAGAAAGGTGAAGAAGAACACAATGAGGAGTCTTCTCGAGAAAGTAAGCCAAAAGTTAAGATGGAGAAACCTAGTAGCGAAGGAAAACATGTAAAAGTTAAGTTCAAAGTTCCTGAGACTACTTTACCTCATCCATATACAGACGAGCACTATGGGAAAACATAATTTATGAACGATGGACCTTGGTCATCACCAAGCTTATGCTTTGAACCACCTTGATCATAAGTCAGGTACGTCAGGCTCGTGACGTAAAACAAGCGCTAATGGGTAGGAAAACCCACACTTTACTGTTTTATTTTCATGTTTTATTTATTTTTACTTTGAATTAAATAAAGAGAAAAATACAAAAATATAGGAGAAGGTGTTGAGACTAATGCCTACAATTGAGTGAATTTTATAGGTGAAGAGAAGGAAACAAACAACAAGAGAGCAATTAGTTGTTCTTATTTCTCGACGCTAATTCTTTTTAGATTTAAACCTGTTGCTGAAGACAACAACATTTAAATCTGGGAATGGGGAACGCGCGGTTCATCTGAGCACAATTGAGTAAGCCGGAGGAACTGCATGAGTACACACAGAATATCCGGCTAAAATAGAGAACTATCTCAAATCCCTTCTCCTTTGCTTTAGCTTATTTATTTTTTTCTTGCATTTTACATTTTGTTTTTCATGCTTAATTAGGTAATTTTAATTGTTTTTGTTGAGAAACCCCAAGCCAAAAAATTTGTGAAAATTTTACAAATTTTTCAAAGTTTCTCAGTGTTTTAATTGGAAAAATGGCGGGAAGTTTAAATTAGTAATTGATTTAGAGCATGATGATGCACTTAAACATATTCAAATTTTTATGAACATCATTGAATATATTGTTTGATATTAAAGTTATTTGAGAAAAAGAACAAGGAAATTACTGTGCATTCATAGCCGTGAGGTTTTGAGCCTATACAGAAAATTTTTATTGAGTGTGCATTCCATTGTTGAGATACTCTAGAACTTGCTTTGTTTCTTGATTGAAATGGTCTATGATTTATTCTGTAGAGATGATAGAGGCATGTTCTTTCTTTAACTAGATGGCCAAATAGCAAACCCTGATGATATTTCCTTAGTTAAGCCCCCTAGAGCCTAGACTTTTTATTCATGAAAAACCTGTGAATATGAATATCCACTTCCCAAATTGAATCATCACCTTAATAGCAGATTAATTTCAAATTTCAAGTAAGGAGTGGACATGAGTTTCAACTATGCAGGCGTTCAATGGAATGAAGAAGTACAAGCACAAGGGCAAAGCCCAAGAAAGAAAGAAGAAGGAAAAGAATCAAGAAAAGCGAGCAAAATACTCCAAACAAAGAAAGGAAAAAGAAGCGAAAAAGTAAGAAGATACGCTTAGAAAGAAAACGACGAAAGAGAAAGTTCAATGCAGAAAATAAAGATCTGGAAAGAATAAGAAAAGCTTTACAGCCGGAAGAAACGCACAACACTTGTTCCATTCCTTAATCTGAATTGATCTTAAACTTTTGTCCCAAACTCTTTTCCTCCCTTTCACCAGGCCACGTTATAACCTTATGAAAGACCTCTTGAGCTGCTTGATTTATCATAAGAACTATGGAGAGCGAGAATATAAGCTAGCCTATGGTAGTGTTGATTCAGTGGAATAAGAGAGAAACACCAACCCTCTAGACAGTTGAGCAAGAGTGAATTAAAAACTCCTAGTGAGGGAGTGTCTCAGGAAATTTTCCCTGTTCTTGATCTTAAGGAATTTCATTAAAAGTTTTGACTGATGAATTGTTGATCTTATTGTTTTGATGTGTCATCCTTTCCTTAAGTCTGAATGCTCTGTAGTCAATTCTCTGATTAAATCCTGCCTGTGAATTCCATGCAATTGAAAGTCTTGATTGAATTTCATTGAAATTATTCTAGTGTATTGCTGAGGACAGCAATGTTCAAATCTGGGAATGGTTGATAAACCCTTAGTTTATCATGTTTTTAGGTTTAATTCTGATTGATAAATGTTGTGAATTGCATGAAAATTAGGGTTTTATACTGTAAATTACAGTAATTGAAATATCTTGCTAACATGTTGTCGTAATGTTGAATTACAAGGTTTTTGACACCTATTATGGCTCTTTGGAACCAAAAGAAGACATCAAGTTGAGTTGGAGCCTCAAGGAAGCAAGTTTTCAAGTGTGTACCAGCTGTAAGAGGACGTTTTGGCGTCCATGAAGCACGTTTAAATGCTCAAGATGAAGAAAATAGCCAAAATCCACTGGAGGAGAGCGTTTTAGCGCCCAACAGAGCGTTAAAACACCCTGACAGACACAAGTTCCCTTCGAAGAGCATGTTTAAATGTTAAACAGCACGCCAAAACGCTGAAGAGCACGTTTTGGCGTGCTACAGCACGCCAAAACGTGCTAAGGCAGACAACAATCCATTATTAGACAGAGAAGATTTACCAAATATTTGCTGAAGATTTAAAGAAGATTTGTTCAGATAAGATATGGAACTAAAACGGAAACAAATCAAGATGATTCCTGAGAAGATTGAAGCAACATACAACGAAGATTTAAAACTTTAATTCATCAACCAAATCTCCAAGATTTTACATGAAAAAGGAAACAAAGATGAAATCAAATACAAATCTTGTATGGATTCATTAGAAGATTAGATAATGGATACAACTCCCTTGGTTATAAATAAGGAGCTTGGGAGCACAAACCAATACACAATTCCAGAGCATTACACCAAGACTGAAGGAGGAATCCTGTTGCGAAGCGCTGGAACACTGATAAACCATGTCAACATCACACCAATGGAGGCTTAGGGTTCTCTTTTCTTTATTATTTCTTTTCTTTTCAGTATGCTAGAGTAGTTTTTTATGTAGTTAAGGGTAGATGGAACCCAATTGAATCTTTATGTTTATCAATTAAATTGTCTTCGAATCCTGTTCTTTTTATAATTGAATAAATTATCCGTCTTTAATGTTTTCTATGAGTTTGTTCCTTATAGAATGATTTTGGGGAATTGTATGAAAATAGGGATGTTGGTGCATGAACCTTGACTTGATAATTTGTCATAATCCTTGTGATCTAGGAATAGGAATAGGAATAGACATAGGGTAATTATGCAATCTTGAAATTCTTGATCTTAATGCATGTTTTCTTGGGGAATAATCGGGGAACTAGAGTTCTTTCAAACATAGATTTAAGGTAACAAGGAATTGAGCCCTAATTAACTCAGATAGAATTGATTGGCAATATATTAAGAAACGAATTCTTGGCTTTTTAATTCATAACATATGAAGGATATTGGGGGAAGCCGAAACCTTAACTACGCTTTTTAAATCTTAATCAAACATCATCTCATTCATTCTTTTAATTCTGAATTTTCATATTGCATGCCTTTACTTGTTTTTAGTTTTAAGTCTTGAACAACAATTCTCTTCATCTAAATTCACCATTCTCGCAAACCAAACCTTTGATTGTCCAACTAAAACACAATTAGTGAACTAGTGCTTGAAATTCTGATCCTCGTGGAAACGATCTCGTACTCAGTATATTTTATTACTTTCACGATCGGTGCACTTGCCGTGTCGCTATCAATATATATATATATATATATATATATATATATATATATATATATATATATATATATAATCAACCTATTTGAAATCAAATTAACCTTTATAAATTTGGCCACTTTGGCAGCTATCAAATCTATCATATTCAATTTCAAATAAAAACCTTTAGGGATAGTAAACACATTTGAAAATAAAATAACAACAATAAAGAAAATTATTCTTTATCAATCCTCAATGTACATACACACAAACTTTTCCAATAACAATAAATACCTTTTCATTATAAGGCTTAAAAAACGATGCACAATCAACTCACAGGTAAGCCTTTTCAAATAAAAGCTTGAAAATGATACACAATACTCAGAAAAAATTTATATTTAGCTTTTAACAAAGAATATCAAATATAAGGAAAACCTCAAAATCAAAGACCTTAAACATTTGATTTCTTTCAAACTATAGGTCCAAAAATTTTCAAAGAGAATTCATTGTTCATTCAAATTTTCAATTCAAACAAAAAACCCTCATCAATTATAAAGCCAAAATTCTTCCAAACATCCCATCTATATACAGATTCAAAAGTTTAAATAATAAACCATTATTACACTACGAATCCTACATTTTTAAAAGATTGTAACTTTTGTTTCAAAACCAAAAATCATCGTCAAGGAACTCAAATTCCAAAAATAATAAACATTATGCCAAAAGACAATAAAGCAAAACTTTTAATGATTAATCATATAAAATAAAAAATCACAAAACTAATTCCTTCATAATTCATTATGACAATGGCTCTGATACCAATTGTTGTAATAATAATTCCTCTTAACCTTATGGTGATAACCTTCACCAACAAACCAAGATCCATCATAACAAATCATAAAGAAATATTAACAGAAAGATGGAGGCATACCTGTCTCCATAGCAGCAGAATTACTTCGATCTTCACCTTTGGGGTATGCGATCTTCCTTAGTCAAATAACCCAAATCCTTATTCTTTAGTGTGTTATCTCTCTTTTGATGGGGAAGAGAAACTAGGGTTGTTTATTTGACATATTGGGGACCATAACCCTTTATAGTGTTTTTCTTTATTGTTGGGCCAGTAAGCTCTCATTATACCTAGTTTGTAAGAACCTGCACTGTTAATTTAGGAATTTAATTAATTAATTATGAGATTAACGAGATAATTCCATAATTGATCTTAATAATTATGATAAGGCTTAAATAATTATGGTAAGTGGTTAGAATGTTGAAAGTCGCTTTTCAGACGAAAAGTGCAGATACCGGTTCTGTCTCACGGTATAAATGTGTACCGATGAAGTATCCTGGAAAATTATAATGTGTATGGGAATATTCCTAGAATAATATATAGGACTGTCAAAACAAGTTTCAAGTCGAAATAATGAGAACTGGTGCTAGAACTGATTCAATACACCACTGAATTTGATCGTCTTCGAATGCGTTGTGACATGGTCGAAGATGATGAACAAGTGATTGCTCGATATCTAGGTGGATTACGGGATGAAATTTCTGATGTTGTGTACTTACAACAGTATTGGTCTTATGAAGATGTGTGCAAACTGTCCTTGAAGGT